CTGCGTCTTTTTTTTCCTGTTTGAGTGCATTTAAGCCCTTATGCAACCTAATACTTTCTGTTCATTGGAGCAATTTTCTGCTGTTAGCCAAATGCACATTCTGCTCTCTGGTACGGCTTTTTCCTGTGGTGGAGGAAATATTGATGATACATTCTTTCACAGTGGCTGGATGTTTATCAATCACCTTGCACATTCTTTGTTTTTATACTATTACACATTCTGTAAATCAATGTTGTATTTGGTATTTCAGTTTAATATATTGAAAGACCTCTGCCTTGAAGATAACCCTAATGGCCTATTTTTTTTTTTGTTTCTATGGTGTGTAATACAAATGTTATATAATTAATATAAATACAATTTATGTACACATATGGATGTTGTTTACAACATATTTAACTTTAACAGATTTTTTTCTTTTATTTCAGCAGTCTTAATGCTCTCTGAATACTTTTATTTTCCATAGGGAAAAATAATTTGTATATGACAAAAAATATGCAAAATCAGTGTGTAAYAGATAAAATTAAAGTAGTTACTGAATATAATTTTCCAAACTCTATTTCAAATTAGACCTCTTGAAAATATGCATAATTTGTATTAGTTTCAGCTACACTTTAAAGTGTATTCTCCTGAGTTTCCACCTATTAAACCCTGATTATTATGCTGCAAGATTGTTAAATTTTTAATTTATTTATATTTTTTCACATATTATAATATACAGGGTAGTGTATTTCTTTCATAGGTGGCATCTTATTCAAGTTCAGTGACAAACATCTCCTGAAGTTCTGAATGTACCTTTGGCATCTCTGTGTTGTGTTGACTGCCCCTTTCCTCTGCACTGACCACATCTGCTTAACATCTTAATGTCCTGAAGAATATTTTGTGGGAATTTTGAAAAACAGGCCCGTAATTACAATGACAGATTATAATTTACAGTAGATTTTGCTGTTTTTTGAGGTTTTTTCTTGGTAGACGTGAGGAAATKGTCAGATCTGTAAAGGCACCTKGTTGAGCTCAGAAAGTGCAGGAATRTTTGAAAAGTCTTARATAYAGGCATACAGCTGGCCTGAGGAGATATTTGAGACTATTATGAGTTTCTTTCACTTGCAACTCATATAGTGGAGAAGATAGCAATGATTTTTTTAGCAACATTAATGAAAGACAATACTGTAGTCTTCCTTTCTGAAAACCATTGGTTTGGATTCTGTCTTCAAGTGCTGGTTCAGTTGCTTTTTGGAGACCAACCCACTCTCCAAGGTACTATGGCAAGAGTTAAAATTGAAAGTGTTTCCCTCTCAAAAAGGATTGGGCAGAGATTTTTTTCTTTTCTATCGAAAAAGTGAAATGAACATCTATACTGCCTCATGATGATTTGTTAAATATGTGTTTACTTGAAGAAAGCAGTAATAAGTTGTAAACATAACAGCTCATATAAATATTTATTCCTCTCCACAGCAAGATTTGGCTGAAGCTTCCTTGAATAGCTGTATTTCTGCTAGGAAACTCAGGAAATTACAGGTTTATTAGTTTGTTGCATCTGCTGTTTATTTTGTATGTTCATTTTCTGTTTTGCTTTGCAAATTATTTCAACCACACTCTTGCAGTATTTTCTGTTGCTGGGTATGATTTATACCATTTACATCTCAACCTTTATTTTTCCATTTTAGAAATCATCTTTTCATTTCATCCCATTATAATTTTGTTCATTACAGAATTTGTTGCCTCCCAGCATGTTCTGTGAAACTCCATCTCAGGTTCTGCATGCAGTTCTTCATAGTCTCCTACACATTACATAGCAATATTTCAACAAGGTTTTTTCTCTTCATTCACAGTGATTATATTTCTAAAGTTCAGTTGCTGGTTTTGCAAGTCTCTTTGAAAGTATTGCAGTGCAAGCCAACAAAGCACAGTATTTACTCATTGTGGCTGCTGTCATTATCTTTTACTCCTGSATGTAGCTGGCCATCCTTAAATAAAGGCTGTCAGGTGTCTGGATSTATCCCAGTATGTCTTGCTTACAGTCAGGATGCAAAGGTGCCATTCATTTGAATTTTTAAATGGCTGTTAAGCTCAGACTTTACATTTGTGATAAAACTGGAACTTTCCCYGTGACCATGGCAATTAAGTTACATCCATTAGGATGCTCTGTGCTTGCTATCCTTCTTAGCTATTTATTGGCAGAAGTGGACATTTAGTTTGATTATAAATTAAATATTCACTTGAAAGATTCTGACAGGTCTGGAAACCTCCATGCCCTGGAGTCATGTTCCAGACTTATTTCTTTCCCTACTTTTCTCCCTGTTTTGYTTTGCATCTGTGGTGTGAAAATGGCAGAATGGACAATGCTTTTGAGGATGAGACTTTTACAAGCTCTTGAGGAAATCCACAGTCTTTGCTGGTGGCTGTGGATAATGCTGCACACATTGTAGTAGAACTGGAAACACTGGAGCAAAACACCTGGCTTTGGAAGGCACTTTTTTGAAAGCCCAGGACTGGAATCCCTGTTTATGGTTTCCACTGTCAGAAAGCCTGACAAAGCCAGGTTGCATGCTGGTATAGTTCAAGGACATTGATTCCTACATACTCTTGCTGCACACCATAGGCCAGTGAGCATAACCACCAAGTCAATCTGTGCCTGTCTCAAAACTGCAGAATAAAAMCAGACCCTCACCCTAGACTGGCTTCCCAGGTGGTCCTTGCAAAATCATTCATAGGCAGTAGGATTTTAAAGCAGAAAAATAGGTTACAGAAGTCAGAAGTAGTGGGGTTTAYTGAGGCAGAAGTAGATCTCAGATAACGTTCTTTCTATTCCTTTTTGCTGATTTTGCATATGACCCACATTGCTCCTGAGAAGAGCAGTGTTTCTTCCTAATAATCTGTGGGATCTTAGACACTGTTTCCTCACTGGAAGCTCGGTCARTTAAGACTTTCAACATTTCTGAGTGTTGGTCCTCTTAGACAGCACATGAAAAAGGAATGGTTTGGGAGATGCTGAAAGAGAGCAAAAGGAAATGGGAGGAATGGAGAATGCCTGTCAAGATAAGAAGGAAGAGTAAGAGCAGTGACAGCTGTCTTGGGGAAAGCATTAGTGCACCAGTTCTCGAAGTGAGAATATATCATTTCTTTCTGGGGTAGTATGCTGCTGTAACCATAATCTCCAGGTCACAGACTTGAATGTAAAAAAAATGTAAATTTGCCCTCTATAATAAATGTGTCACAACAAACACAAATTCTATTGTCACACATATTCTCCTGTCCAAAACTGTATTTCTAAATTGGATGTGTACGTAGCCATCRGGGAGGGAGACCTGCAGTCCTGTTTTCTTTCTTGTCATGGGGAARGTGACAGCAAGTGATTCAGTCTGTAGATGCCAGACCCAGCACAGTTGTAGGGAGAAATATTAGTCTGTGGAAGAAGCACGTGTTGAATGTGTACCTGATCTTTGTCTCATGCAAGAAAACAATGACAAGCCAAATACAACATGTCATGAATCATGCTGGGTCTGCTGTCTGCCAGTTAAACAAGTGATATGGAGTGGTGCTGACTGATCTACAGAGCAATGCCAATTCATTTACATCTGCAAAATGATCTCACCACTCCTTCTTAGTACATTTTTCCAACTTCTATGCTCAGAAGAYAATCTTTCAYTCARTAGCTAACACAGTGTCRTGGTTTAACCCCAGYCAGCCTCCAAGTACCACACAGMCCCTCACTCACTCTCCATCAAAGGGATTGAGGAGAGACTCAGAGGAAAACTYGTGGGTTGAGATAAAGACAGTTAAATAGGAAAAGCAAAAGCCACACAYRCMAGCAAAGCAAAACAAGGAATTAATTCTCTGWTTYCCATGGGGCGGKAAGTGTTCAGCCATCTGCAGGAGAGCAGAGCCCCATCACACATMRTGRTTACCCTGGAGGGTGCAGGATCTGTGTGGGGGTGCCAGCCCCTGGCCTCAKGTGCTCCCAGCATGGAGCCGGTGCAGGGGAGCACAGATGAGGCCACCAGGCATTTGCTGCCATGGACAAAACCAGCACTTGCCCAGACKGGGACAGACATGCCCTGAGAGCCTGCACTGACAGCTTGGAACCAAACCTCTGGCTTTGTGCTWGTGATGGCAAACCCACTGTTTCCTGGGCTTCAGAATGGGCCTTCCCAAACATTCCTCTTGCAATTATTAACAACTCATAAGAGAAGTCTTTCAAGACTTCATGAGTAAGGTCTAATCTCTGTATGTGTTTGCAGTGTTGGATCTTTAATACTTACTATTACTGGCATAGGAGAGATGGCATAATGCTGCAGCTACCTAAAATATTTATCAGTGTRAAAATGTGATCCTTTGTGTTCAGAACAAATGTGCTTTGATATTTTTWAATTATTTAAAAGCTTTTCAGGAGTGAATAATAAATCTTATCGTATATTCTGACACTGGCTTTCAATGWGTAACTGTCTTTCCTTAGAAATCACATTAGGAATASAARTGAAGWGTGAATGCTAAAAGCTRTGATTTTCCAGAGGTTGAAATCGGRATAAGTAAGAAGAAGGGATGCAGCCTCATTCATTGCTATGTTCACCTAAACTCAATTAAGACCTGCATATATTCATATATATGTGCTTTATTACATGAATGAGATGCATATCTAACCCCCATAATTTTTAACACAAAGAATATTGAAACAAACTRGGGAAATTGTGGATTTTATTGCTTTTTAAACTGCTTTAAATACAGTWAAGTKTWGTAGAATCCAGTAGACTGAAATCAGTAACCTTTAACATTAATGTGCATTTATAAAGCCAGACTTTAAAACCTTGTTTTCTAGTGACTACTGCTGTGAAGGCTGTTCTG